GCCCTCCGATCTATAAGCAAGCTTTGCCCGCCCACATCGTACGGGACCTGAATAAGTAGGACGGTAAATAGCAACGGTCACCTGCCATAGACTAACATCTATGTTTTTTTAATCCTTTTCTAATAATCTTTATTCTTAATTCAATAAAAACTCCTTTGTGTAATACACTTCGCCCTTTAAAGTTCATTAGGAGTTAATTGTGAACATTTCAAAGCAGACGTCGTGTAAACGTAAACTTTTTTAACTTTTTATTCATATATCTTTATTCTCTTATTTTTATATATAATACATTTCATATGATTTTCTTAAAAAAAAATAACAAAATAAAACATAAACTTTTTTAACTTTATTATTATAGCGAGGGTTTTACGATGATTCTCGGTAGTTACAGCCACTTTAATGTTTTAGATAGCAGCATTATTTTCGAAACTCTGGTGTATTTAAATATAAAAATCTTAATGAATACTAAAAGAACTTTTATTTTAGCTTCTTATCTTTGATTATTATTGAGTGGTATAATGGTTTTGTGATATTCCTCGTAGTTTTTTTTAGGATATTGTTTATTACATTTTCTTGATAAATATGTTAAAACTCATTTATTTAACAAATTATGTCATCGGTTGAGGTATTAATTTTATTTTAAAACATAATAATTATTAACAGAATGCTAAGGTAAGGTCATTGAACAAAGAAAGAGAGACGGTGTAAGTTTTTACACAAACTTTATTAATTCATGAATAAACCGCGTCTGGGTTTCGGTCCATAAAATATTTGAAGACATTAATGCGAGTGCGAATATGCTCGTAAGGGCTGAATCATACGAGAACATAAATTTAAACTTTTCAATATGAATAATTCAAATCCAACATTGCTTTCAGCGCATTTCAGATACTTAGACTATATAAGAAAGGACTGGGAAAAGAGCCAATATAATTAAATAAATTATGCTGATACTTGGTGAGGTAATGATAAACTGTAGGTACGTTTTGATCCAAAAATCAATAAAGCACACAAGCAAGCAACTAATCGTTTTTATTTGACAAACGGGAATGCGCACGCTAATCTAGTCCTGTCATTTAAATGTCAAAGATGAGATGTAATGTAAACAATATAAATCGTGGAATAACTTTGCACTTACGAATTTCCATACCAACGTTTAGTTCCCAAAGTTATTCAAATTTGATGCCCACATTGGGATGATAAAAATTTACTATACGGAGACGACACGCGTAGTTGTGAGATTGACTGGAATACATTTTGGAATCCGAGTACTTTGGTAGTATTCTTCTGAAAAAGACTGGGACAGAAAATGTTCTTGAATAAATAAGTAAGAAAGAAAGTAAAAAATCGACGGACTTTTTAGGACCTCATTTTAAGGTAATACATAACATAACTAGTAATACATTCTAAACTAGCTATTGCCCGCGACTTCGCATGCGTGAAATTAAAACATAATTAATAATATAACCTATGTTACTAGTACTACACTAATAACGTAGTTTTATAATAGTGAAATAATTTTTGGAATCGGCATAGTAGTTTATTTCAATACGTACAAAAATAAAAATCTTTCCTCTTTATAATTAGTATTGATTTTATTAAAACTTAGAAAACATACAAAACAATATATTTACGCTCGATATAAAAGGAGATATATATTGCAGCAACGTAATAACTATTTCTCATCTCAGAGATGTATTGTGTGAGAGTGATTCCAACCCGTATCCATAGATAAAAGAGCATAGAGGTAGATTAAAGGCTTCGAGCTCTCATTTTGTACGTATAATTCATACAGTAAATATTACAGATCGAAATAAAATAAATGTAAACTATACAAAGATCTTACATTTAAAATTATTACAACACTTTATACATTTTATAATATACTTAGTTGAAGTACAGATTGACAAAATTCATATTTAAACAATGACATTATTCGCGTAGTGGGAAACAACGCGTCGTAGCGATTGCTACGTCCGTAGTACAAGCTACGCAGTAGACCGTTCGTATCACTCAATTACCTATCTCGTAACGAAAATGTATTCTTGTATTGTGTTCTTTTTTATTGTTATCAGATTGTCAGTATATTTTTAAAAGTACACTTCTATACTAATATAATAAAACATAAACACACAATACTTTGTAGCGTAGGGTGACAGCAATCACAGCATATTTTTGAATAGTTCTTTCTTTAATAAAAAGCCCTACACTTACGACACGCTTTAGTTATATTATTACACGCTTTTTAATTAAACTTAGGGGGTAAATAAATGAGAAAAATCCTTTATGTGGGAACGCAACCAACCAACAAGCTGCCAACATTAAAGAAGCAAGATTATTACGGTGACGGGAATTTAGACATTTGCAATTGAGAATTTGACAATTGTAAACAATAAAATAAAATTTTCATAATTTTATGCGGATGAAGCCGCACGGAAACAGTCTTTTTATACTCGAAATCATCTAGTAATAAGCTAGAGAAACGGGGGCGGTAGTGTAGGTGTACTTACTGAAGATGTTCGACTAATTATAACAAGTTATTTTGTCTTAAGTAGGCGTGGAAGAATATTAATCATTCTATCTCGTCTCAGGGGCATCGTGAATACGCGACTGAAACGACAAACTATTCTGAAAGTTTTACGATTTCCTTACTTTGCTATATGGAATACTTTATCGAAATAAATCTTAACATTAAAGAATACTTGTGTGTAAGTAAAAAATGTGGTATTTTACTGTTGTTACCTTCCAAATAATAAAAGTCGTTTCGTCAATACATTCAGACGTTCCCTAAGGACTTATCTCAGTACGTTTTTATTTACCTTGGCTTGTCAAATCTTGTAATACTTTTAGATAATGATATATTTCAGAATTATATCTTGATTTTGAATTCATATTTTATCCAATTAATAAATTTCATGATGTTGCATTACAAAAGATCTAATTACAAAATCGATATATTAAGCAAGCAATATTTTCAATAGAAAAAATACCTTTTTGATTCATTTAAATTCATATACGTGTAGATGGAAGATATATTTCCTTGCTTTAATAACTTACTTTACCTCTGAAACTCAGTATGAACCTTTAATTAAATTATCTCAACCGAATATCGCGATCCTAATGAGTCTTCTTTTAAATTACGTGTAATAAGTTTGGGAACGACGACAATCCCCCGCGGCCTGTCTTGCTTTCGTTTTAAGAACACGCGATGCGATTTATAATTGGCTTTTAGATTAGCTTGCTGAAACAATGGGCCCGCGGCACGCAATAGCTTCCCGTAAGAACACTAAATTAAATTATTAAGGAATTATAACATGTTCTTGTAATTTCTGACCCTAAAGAAATAATCAAATAAGAAAGCGGATCACCAAGTGTTACGAATTTAGGCTTCGCTGCCCAAAAACAAAGCACCATCACAAGCAGTAAAAAAACTTTAAGAAATGACATCTACGATAAAAGTACTGAGCAAAAATTGTTGCATAATTGTGTAGGAGAGATAATAAATAAGCTGTTTATGTAAATCACCTGTAATTTCTATATTCTTTATCTACGGATTATGTTTTTATTCAATAAAATATCTATTTTACGATAAATAAAACCCTTGAAGTAATAGACCTTATTTACCCTAAAGTCGAGCTTCGAAAGCCATGCAAACTCCTTTCGAGTTGACTCTAAACAAACTCAAAGACGACGAGCATTTTAGGGGTATTGTAACAATAACAATGTTATTAAGAAGAAGGAATTTGTTAATTTGTTTTACTCTGCATTATCTTATTATTTCCAAGTCTTCTTCAAGTTCAATGTCCGTCGCGAAAAGGGCAAGGAATCCTAAGAAAACATTACAAGGAACTGCGTATAAAAATGTATATACAAGTCAATGGAAATAACAATAATGTAATAAAAAGATTTTGAAGCCTCCAGAGTCTTTTAACGCGTATTCTTGCATTTTATTTTAAGCTCGAACTGTAAAGAATCCAAGCTTTTTTAAATGTCAATTAGTCTTTTACTGGAGCACTAAAAGCTTTCACTGGCTCTTTTAAATTTCAAAAGCTTCACAAACTCACTTAGTCCTTGCTCTTCAGTTTTCTATTGGATTAATATTGAGTTTTTTAATATAAGTAAGGAATAGAAATCTTATACTGAAGCCTTACATTGAATTCTAACGTTCAAGTTAATTATGAGGTATGTTTTTGTCGTATATTTATTGGGGTAATATTAATCTTTTGAAGATTTCCCCCCGACACCAAAAAAAGGGTGTTTGAGGCTGCATTTACGTATACGTTGCCTTTAGTTGAAAAACTGTAATTCATACAAAATGCGAATTTGTGATGTCGTTGCCTTTATCTAATAAATCTAAATTTGGCTAAACAATGTCTTAAAAGGCTTCTCTATGACATGTCTTATTTTAAAAAAGTTAGAGCTCATATAATATTACTTTCACATTAAAAGCAAGACTTTTCTTATCTTGGGTTAAAAGTTTAATCAGACTAATTTGAGGCTCACCGCTAGCACTGGCAAGCTGTAAGTAGGTAATTGCATTAATTGCTTCAGCGGAACTTGGCAATTCAATTTCGAAACTTTCGAATAGAAACTTTTCCGTCGACACTTTGAAACAAATTGCAATGTTAATAATAAACTGTCAATAGTTAAATTATCGAGGTCAAAGCCAGTTTTAAATCGTCTCATTTCCTTTTAGATGTCAAATTCTAAAAGTATACATTCTCTCCCATACTAAAATCGACTGCGTCTCGCATTCACCTGCTTCGAACTGTTAGTAAACGCGTGAAGTCATGAGACTATCAGCAAAGTTTCTGCGCAAGAGTTAAATTTCTCCCTCAAACATGTGAAGGAAAGTTTTTTTAATTTCAATGGTACATGAACGGTCAATATTCTCAAAACTATATTGAGAATTGAATTATTCTATAAAAAAAGTTTTTTGAATATAATAGTCTTGATACAATTTTACTTGAAATAGTTTTGATCAAGATGTTCGTATTTGACAGTGCGTGTATAAAACCAAGACAAAGGCATGTACGAAACTCCGGCATAATTCATAACACAATCGTGTAATCAAGCTGAAACTTACCCGGAAAACTATTTATGTTAATGAGGTCACGCTCATTGCAGTCATAACTTCCGATAATACCTTCTGTCTCGGTAATCTCGACAATATCCACAATCCAACTCAATAATTATCTTATTGAAATTATGCATAGATAAAAATGATTAAGTGAATAAACAAGGAAGTTAAAGACCTGGTTGTACTAATTTGCTCATTTCTTGGAGTTGAAATATCAAGCCTCTAGTTATATAGTAAAAACGGCTTGATGGTGTGTAGGCACAATTTTAATTTTTAAAAAAATTAGCAAAAGAACTTAAAGAAATGTAGTCTTTGAAAATCAAAAATGACAACTATTGTTTATGCTTCATCTAAGGTTGACAGCTGTCAGTTGTGACAACTAGAATGAACGGTTTGAATATTTGTTTTAATTTTATTATTCTCATTTTTCACTGTAAATAAAACTTGAAAATGCTTGCAAATCTTGTAATAAATAAACCGATCAACGAAAATGCTTGTCGGGCGTGCTTACAAACTAAACATGAAGGGTGTGTATCTCTTAAAAACAATAGTGAACTGTCCCAACTTTTTGAGTTTTGTGTTGGATTATCAGTAAGTATTTTTAATTATGCGCTATGAACTACAATTTACTATTACATTTTTCTTACTTGCTAATGATTAAAGTTTTCAAAGCAATGTAAAACTTACTAAAACAAGGATAAATAATAAAAAAATATTGTTTGTGCTGTTCTGGTCACATTTGGTTATGTTTTGAATTTGGTAATGTAGTATAATACTTGAGAAACATATATAATTTACCAGTATTTGTGTCTGAATATTATAAATTTAAACAACTGTATGGATATTACGATAATGCAGTAATTGTTTTGTAGGTAGAACGGGAGGACATTTCACAAGTTTTGTGCCAGCAATGTGCAACAATTGTCAAAAAATTTGCAGATTTCAAAGTACAATGTCACACATATGATGAAATGTTTAAATCTATAGCAAAGAATAAAGATGTAAGTTTCAATTTCTTTTTCTTGTATGTAATGTTTGTGTAGTTAGCCATTAACTTTTATTTTATTTTATTTGAAATTACCAATGTAAATGTTAGTAAGACTTTTTGATTCTTTTCCCACAACAAATGAACCGATGAAGATGAGATTTTAATAAGTTTGTTTGTGTGAAAAAGCTAAAGTAGATGTCATAAACTATTATTCTTTGTCACCTTTTATTAAATAACTAGTCTTTGCTTGCTAGTGTCCAGTATCTTAAAAAAAACTTTCTTATAGTATACATGTTCTTTGAGACGATGTTCTACATTTGTACCAAATTTAATTAAGGTCAGTATGTACTTCTTGGAGATATGTAGTATCTTCTATCTTAAACTTTAATTTTCGCTTAAGATAATGTCTAACGATATATAAACAAAATATCTTCTATCCTTCTGAACTTTTACATTTATAATTTTAGTGCAATTAGTAAGATTTCTGTAACACTAGATATTTAAAAGCTAGTGTTTAGCTGTTTTAATAACTTACAACTTTAAAATCAAGTAACTAAAACTCAAATATAATGAACAAATTTGTATATAACAATTTTAGAATATTTGTACAGAAAAGTTTTCAACAATTGAAGAAGTGAATGTTGACAGTAATTGTGAATTAGACAATATAAGTTTTGAAGATGAATTTTCAAATGATAATATAGAAATAAATGAAAATTGTAATACAAAAGATATGAAACAAAATTCACAAAGTGTTAGAAAAGTCATTGAAATACCCAGGAGAAAATCTTCTAGACAAAAATTTTGTAAAAATGGTACTCCAAAGATAATTTTTGAGGAAAATGAAAATGTTGGTAATATTGAACAATGTGAAAAAGGTCTAATAAAAGTTTTAGAATGTACCAAATGTAAGAAACAATATAGTGAGTACTTAAGTAGTATTTATTTAAAATAATAAAAAGATAACTTATTTGAATATGGATAAACTTGAATACTGTAGAATTATAACTTTTTTGTATTTCAAATTTTTCAAAGGAGTTGTGTGTTTTTTTTTTATTTCTACTAGATTGTAGCAAAGATATGTTGGTTTGTGAATTTTATATAATTATTTTAGAAAGAACTAAATGTCTTATAAAACATATGAGGCAAACATGTTACAAGCATAAAAATATCAAAAACGCAGTTGTAACTGAAAAATATAAGCAGCAAACAATTAAGGAAAAGGATGAAAAAACGAAGAAATACTCTAATGAACTATTTTGTGGTAAGTTTGGAAATGGACTTTTTTATCTTTTAATATTTCATGGGTACTAAAATTGTTAGATTTTATATAATGTGTGTAACCAGAAAGTGTTAAGATTGTATATGGTTACAAAGGAAGAGGAGGACCAAAGAAAGTATGAATGGATTGTGTGAAAGAGGATATTTTCAAGAAGAAAGTGGATTCAGATATGACTGCTGATAGAGATGTATGAAAGAGCAGCACATACTGTGCTGACCCTCCATAAGGGAAAGGGATAAGGGCAAGTTGATGATGGTACACTTATCATATTCTTGACCTCTTTCCCTTTTTATATGGAAATGGAGAATTGATTTGGAATTGAATGGGAAGGACAGAGAGGAAACATATACTTGCATGTCCCCTTTTTCTGTCCATATAGAGAATTAATGTCATACTTTTTTTCTTAACTATTTCTATAGTCAAATTTCATTTGAGACTTTAAAAAACTCGCAGTTAAATTCTTATTTTATATTATTTACTCCATCTATTTTAGGTCTATGTCATTTTTCATCATCTCATCGTGAAGATCTGGTGATACATTTAAATCAACATTGGGATATCAGTGATTTGCACTGTAAACTATGCAGCTTTGTGGGCCAGGACCTCGCAGAATTGTTTGGACATAGGTTATATTTTTATCTATACTCATGTTATAGGATGATTCGTATTTTTGTATGAACTGAAATAATTCAAAAACTACTGGGCTGTTATCAAAATTGTTTCACCATTAATGTAAAGCTACATTATCAGTTACAGAGGCTATATTTTTTATTTTCGCGCGAAGTCGCGAATAGCAGCTAGTGTACTATAAGTTTAAAATATGCATAACAAATATGTTTGCTTAACTTATAGTCTAATACCTAAATTTTTTTATCTGAATTTTTGGTTCTAATATTTTTGTTTTCTGTTTTAAGAATCATTTTCATCCTGTTTGAACGATAATCTCTTAATAACAGATTTTTAATCAGACAGTAAACACTGAGGAAAATGCGGTTTAGGACTAAATGAATATAATTTTACAATTAGAATTATCGACTCTAAATTGATTTCTTTTTTGCTGTAAAAACGTATGACCTCGATAGGATTGTGGAAAATTGCGTAGGCATACAATTAGATGAGTGTAGTCTCCTTTATATCACAAAAGACCGAACAATGCTGAAGATCACTAGCTCTGAATTGACTTGATTATGTGGAACAAGATTTTCTATTGTAATTGAGTTTTTGTTGAGATATAAATAGCCTGGATATTTTCAATTGTTTGGGGGAATTTTTAAGAGTACGTTAACAGTCTTTGTCAATAATGCTGGCAAATTTTAACAAACGAATCACCAATTATTTAAAAACAATGATGGTATTTCTTTTTTTTGACCGACTTCCCAAAAGAAGGAGGTATTCAATTCGACGGTATATTTTTTTTTTTTTTTTTTTTTTTTTTTTT